TAAGCCTAGGCAGAGATATAAGCAGTTGCTGGACAGAAGAACCTCTGATTAAAGGTGATGAGAAGAGCACCACCAAGTATTGCCCTTGGGTTTTGGTTAGGTTGTGGTAGCTCTTCACAACCTGCTCTAAATTCTCAAGGGAGTTTGTTAAGCTGAGGTCACTGGGAGATGCTCAGGAAAGTTTCTGCAGTTGATGCCCAAACTGCAAAGCCCTGGTTGGAGCACAGCGGTTTTCAGCTCGGCATTTGTGCAGGTGTATTGCTGAAGACGTTTTTTTGCCAAGTTGTGTTCCTGGCCTTGGGAACGTGTTTCTTGAACCATCCTTACGGCTTTCTTGGCTGAGCATCAAACCAAGAATGTCCCTGCGCTAGATCATACTGCTTGCTGCTCTTCTAGGCCACCCTGGTAACAATACATTAACCTCTCAGCAGGGAATGTGATAAACAAAGTAAAACTGCTTTAGCGCAACCAATCATTTAATGGCAGCGTGCATAAAGTGTCCTTAAAGATTTGTAAATGTAACAAGCTGCAGTTCACTGAGTGAACAATAGCTGTTCCTAATTTAGCCAGCTGATCCAGATTCCTTTCTCTCTGGTGCAGTTTCCCCTCTGGGAGTCCTTAAAGGTAAGTCCTCTTTAATGATAGAAATATAAGTTATATGTTTTGTGAAGGCTTTCCGTGGTAATTTATCTAACTGGATTATCACAGTTATGGGCACATCCAAGAGTCAGTAAGTATGTACCAACCTACCTGTGCATGTGAAGATCATTTGCTTGAATATCTGAAAAATAACAGGGAATATCTAATGACTGATATGTGGCATAGAGTCTAAATTTTACTCCCCAGCATGCCAGAAATCTTACCTTCTGCTCTAGCTTTTTTTACTGATTAGAGAGTGGAAACTGTCTTGTATTATGTGATTTTTTTAATCTTATTTTATTTTTTTTAGTGTTTCACTCTTTAGAGTATCAGGAAATTGCGAATGATACAAAGAAAACTTGCTGAGCCCGATTTTGTTGACAGGGAGAGACTCTTAACACATCACTGACATGCTGTGTTGATTGACTGCATTTACTTTATTTAAAGGTCATTTAAAGAAGGTGTCAGTTGGATGATGTTTTAATAGTGCAGTCTTTCAGAATGATGTGCTGTTCTCCCACTGGCTGGTTGTTTTCTTTATCGTGGACAAAGTAAAGGTCTAGATGTTTCAGCACAGAGTTGGATTTGAAGTCATGTAATTTCTCTGTCCCTCTGTTTTTGCTTTAACTCACTGCAAAAGATGAAGGAAAGTCAGGGTTTTTCACATACTTAGAGATCCTGGCTTGTAAGCACAGAAAATTATAGCAGATTGTTAAAAACGTTGTAGCAAAATATAATATTTATAAGAGAGAAGCTGGAGAGAGAGTAATTTTCTTCCTGTTGAGGGTGATGGACTTCTGAGAAAGCTTGGCACTGAAACCCAAACTGGGCGGAGGTACTGGGAAAGATGGGAACTGGTGATGATCTTCTTTGGCCCTTGCTGCTGCTGTTGGGGGAGGAGGACTTATGTTCTCCTTGGTCCTCCTGTGCCTGGTTGGGACAATAGCTTGTCCTCTCGCTGGGTGTCAGTAGCTTGGGTCGTTCTGGAGGGACAAGCCTAGAGTGTGAATGTTTGCCTCCAGAGGCCTCAGGGAATCAAAGGGGAGTCCACAGGCAGGAGGAGCATGAAACACATCAAGAGCTTTCGCAGAATGGAGCTGAGTTTCGCAGAGGATTCTGTAGGTGCTTCACGAGCTCGGCCTGATGTGGTGTCTGCGTATCGTCCCATTGCACAGGCTAGCTTGGGCTGCCTTTTTAGGAATCTGTTTCCCTGCCAGTGTCTAGGAATGGCTTTCTGTAAGCTCTTCGGCAGCGATCCTGGTCTGAGCTGCTGATTGTTAGTGCAGCAGCCGTGTTTGGGAGCAAGAGGTGGCAGTGCTTAAAAAGTGCTGTGTTCTTGCCAAACCCACATAAAACAGCAACATCGTGTAGCTGTTTTCCAAATGTAAAGTTGTTTTAACGAATGTCCATGTAGCTGTGACAATAAAATGTATTGTATAGATTGCAGGCTTTAAAGAAATCAGTCTGAATTTTGCTAGCTACAGGAGTGAGTCACGTAGTATGAGACATCATGTTTAATCTGAAGAGGTCAGTGCAGATCTGAAGAGAAACAAAACTGGATTAGTTTGTTCCATGGACCAGTTGCAATATATTCTTCTGACCGAGGAACCAAGAGTAGAAAACGGCAAAAATCAGTCTTGCATGCTTTAGTCACTTTGGCTCAGTGTATGGAGAGACCTCAAGGTTTGTCACATCAAAGCCAGGCAGTGAAAGCAGAATACGTTTAGTTTATCTGAATGAAGCTTTTAAAAAAATTGCCTTGACAGTACAACAAAGGACAAAACCCATTGTGGTCCTACCAGCAGGCTGGATGCGGCCACTAGCACTGATGGGAGTACGATTCAGGGTAGGGCTTCTCACGGGTGCATGGAGGGAGCATGAAGAGACAGTAATTAAGAAGAGGTAGGAGTGCAAAGGAGTAGAGACAAAGGCACGAAGCATAAACATAGAAGAGTTGTTGAGATAATGTCTGAGGGACTCTTCTGCACTGTGTTCATGGGATTACTTGAGAAAGTAAGTGCAGGAGCAGTTGTGTAATGTGTGAGGATCATCTCACCGAGGAGAACAGAACAAGTGCTGTGGCTGTATCATTTTAAAAACTGTTAGTACAAAGTTACGTAAGCTGATGGATGATAGACTCAGTCTTATAATTCCCCAAACAAGCTAATCACCATAAAAATGAGGAAAAATGTCTTTCCACTGTAAAGGACAGTTAGCGAGGAAGAAGCAGCGTTTCCTTTTTGCTTCACCTGTGCTGGCTGCAGCCAGCAGCAGGGTGTTAAGCTAAGCTTAAAGAAGCCTAATAAAGGCTTGTCACAGGTAGCAAATCAGGTGTTTCAGTATACCATTTTCTCTATCTGCTTTGCTTCCAGCTGCTATGGTTATTTTTTGTGCTTCCAGCTGGCTTTAGCCACATAGTTTACATGTACAGTTTTCTTCTGTCTGTCAATGTAGACCAGCTGTCCTGTGTGAGAACAGACTTGCATATCATGCACCAAACTGAGTTAGAAGAGAGAACATTGTATAGACTACTGAACTAAATGGTTACTTGTGCTCTATGTGCTCCAAAAGGGGGTATTGCAGTAATCAGCAAGGACTAGATGGTGCTTCAATTACGGGCTTTACTTGCAGTTACTCAAGTGAACAAACAATTTAGAAACAGTCAGTAGATTCGTTTCTTAGATTACAGTGATTCAAGAAACAGCAGTGAAGAAATTATGTTGATTTTAATAAAAAAATGAAATCTTTTTTTTTTTTGGATGTCGGTAGCATCCACTGCTATATTTCATTCTTAATGTCCTTTCCCTTCTCAATTCTTCATTTTCCCATATTTTGATTTAGGCACAGATTATTGATGTAAACCAAAGAAGAGAAGGAAACTGTTCTGTGGTGTATCAAATTTCAGGACAGAAGTTGTCATTCTCTACTAGGGTGCGTTAGTGCAGCACTTCCCTGTGTTTTTATCCCAAGCCTTGCAGCTAAAACAATTCTGAAGTCTTCTCAGAGTTCAGGAAAAGAAGGGGCATTTCAAATTTCATCCACTCCCTGCTACACCAACCCTCGGAGGAGCACCATGTCTGATTACCACTGTGGCGGTTTGATCAGGTTTTGTTTTTTTTAGGTGGGGCTAATGCTTCTGATCCTGTCTCCAAGCCAGCTGGCTGTGAAGAAAGGCAGCAGAATGTAGTTGTGGTGTGCTTCCCAAATGCCAGCTGAGCTCACTGCCTTCACATTAATTCAAATTTGGGAATAACGTTGTAGGACACAGTCCCTTTGTATGCTGCCCTGGAATTTCCAGAGTGCCTCTGTAACTTGCTTTGGAAATACTGTATGTGTGTGCTTCATTGTGGGAATTTCAAATTACAGGGTCTGCATATTTGGCATGAAATTGTTGTGGGCTGCAGGGAATCTGGCGCAGCTCCCTTGCTTTTCACCTTGCTGCCGGGGGTGTAAGTCTCCACTCAGATTGCTGTAGCACTGTGGAGTTCATCCCTTCTGTATTATCTTCTATTCTGCTCTTTTCAGACATTTTATTCAGCACATCTAATCATCCTATCTACCTACCTACCAACAGCACACAAATGATTTGTCATTTGTTTCATGTAGCATTTCAATCTATATTTTTTCTCTTTTAGACCTAAGTGAGAGAAGAGACAACTTTCATTTCTGCTGGGGGGATACAGCATAAATACAGGGCATCAGTTTTTTTTCATCAAAATAGGGTTTAAAAAACCCCCACAAAACCAAGAGCCTCTGGGTAGGTTTGAGTCCAGCAACATCTTGTCAAAAATGCCTGCTTCTTTTGTCTGAGTGGAAATGGTCCGGTCCCTCGGAGAGCAGTGCTGTGCGTGAGATAAACCTGTCTCAGGTGAAACAAGACTCGGTCCTCTTGGGTTTTATATTTCTGAATGTTGGCTGCGCTTCAGAGCCTCTGAGAGTTACTCCAACGCAGCTGTACATGGAGAATGCTCTCTTTATAGACCGAATGTATTGTATGTCTGGAAAAAGGGCTCTGGTAGCCAGTGAAGAGGGAAGGAACAGGCAGAACAGGTGGACATAGGTCTCAGATGAGTAGGCTTGAAAAGTAAGGGTTTTATTGTTTGGGTGGTTGTTTTCTTTAAGGAGGGAAAGCAAACCTGCTATCCTGGGAACCTTTTGTCTTTTTCATTAGACACGTCCGGTTGTGAGCTGAGACACTTGGATGTTGGTAAGCCCATATAACGCCAGGGTTAGGCTGACTTCACCCTGCAGACTCTGTGTGCCAGCAAGTCCTGCTCTTGCAGACGCAGCCTCTCTGGGAGGGCTGGCACAGACTGTTCTGCTCCGCTGGCCCAGGACCTGCAGGGAAGGATAAAAATCTTGGACTGACCATGCTCAGGGTGACATTCTGGCTCTTCTGGCACTCAGTGAGGCCAGGATTCTCCTCTTAGTCTGGGTGCTGGGCAAAACCTGAACTTTAGACTTTCTGCAGCTATAGTGAGTCCTCATGGTTTTTTTTTGTCACTGGCTTTAGCAATAAGATAATTTTCTCAGATCTGTAAGTCTCGCAAGGTGTTTTACAAAGACAGGTATTTGGTTGGGCCTTCAGAGGCAATAGCTAGAGACAGGGAGCTGAGGCACATGGACAAGGTGTTTTACAAAGACAGATATTTGGTTGGGCCTTCAGAGGCAGTAGCTAGAGACAGGGAGCTGAGGCACATGGGTAGGTCTCTCTTGTGGGATTTTGTAATGACTGTGGTGGCATGTGATAGTGGTGTAAGATGCTGAAAAAGCAGAGGAATGCTTTGGTGTATTCAGGAGAAGACGATGGTTTGAAGAGTGCACACAGCCACATTTCCACCATGCGAAATGATGGGGCATCGCAGTAAAGAGCATGTGGAGAGTCCAGCCTTTCCCCTGTGAGGCCGAGCAGTTGCAGAAGGTTGGTTGGGTCAGAACAAAGGTCTGCCATTGTTGTTCCTAAAATGGTTTCTGCCCACACGATG